CTCCAGCTCAGGAGGAGCTTCGGCTCGGACTTTCCTGTTCTGCGTCTGCACTCTGACCGAGGTGGAGAGTTCTCCTCTGGCCTTCTGCGAGCCTACTGTCGTGCACGAGGCATCCGCCAGACCTTTACGCTTCCGGACTCTCCACAGCAAAATGGGATTGCTGAGCGCCGCATTGGCATGGTCATGGACGTCGCTCGTACGTCCATGATGCATGCGGCTGCCCCCCATTTTCTGTGGCCGTTTGCGGTTCGGTACGCGGCGCATCAGATCAACCTTCACCCCAGGGTCTCCCGGCCGGAGACCTCCCCAGCTCTGCTGTGGACGGGGAAGGTCGGCGATGCGTCTGCGTTCCGTGTCTGGGGATCTCGGGCGTTTGTCCGCGACTTGTCTGCGGACAAGCTGTCCCCTCGTGCTGCTCCCTGTGTCTTCCTCGGCTTCCCCCCTGACGCCCCAGGGTGGCAGTTCTACCACCCCTCCTCTCGTCGTGTTCTGTCCTCCCAGGACGTCACGTTCGACGAGTCAGTCCCCTTCTACCGCCTCTTCCCCTACCGCACTCCTTCCCTCCCCCCGCCACCGCACTTCCTTGTGCCAGGTCCCCCCCCGGTAGACCCCCTTCCCCCTCAGGGTCCTGCCCCTTCAGGTGTGTCCCAGGTAGACGCAGTCGAGCCGGTCGAGGTTGCTGGTGACTCTGGTCCTGCTGCGGGTGCTGAGCCTGGGGGTGCTGACTCTGGTGTGCTACGCGCGTGGGTGCTGAGCCTGGGGGTGCTGAGCCTGGGGGTGCTGAGTCTGGGGGTGCTGAGCCTGGGGGTACTGCGACTGGGGGTGCTGAGCCTGGGGGTGCGGAGTCTGGGGGTGCTGAGCCTGGGGGTGCTGCGACTGGGGGTGCTGAGCCAGGGGGTGCTGCGTCTGGAGCTGCTGAGCCTGGAGCTGCGGAGCCTGCGGCCACTGGACCTCCCCTTGTGGCGTCTGGCGGTGAGAGACCTGGCGGTTCTCCGGGTGCTTCGCCTCGGCGGGAGCCCCTCTCTCCACAGGAGTTGCGCGAGTGGTTTGCTCGCCGCTGGAGACGTACTGCTGGAGCTGGAGCTCCTTCGGCTGCTGAGGGTACTTGTGCCTCTGGTCCCGGAGCTGCTGGGCCCTCGGGTCCGCCTGGAGCTGGAGCTGCTGCGGGTGTTGGTGCTGAGACTGCTGCTGTCCTTCCTGGCGGTGGTCCTGCTGCGGGTGCTGCTGGTGCTGCTGGAGGTCCTGCCGCTGGAGGTGCTGTTGGCGCTGGTGCTGCTGCTGAGGGTGCTGTCCCTGCTGTGTCTGGAGTCGCCGCGCGGCCTCGGCCGTACTTCGTTCCACTCCTACAGCAGGTTCTTGGTCTTTCTCCTCCTGCAGCGTGTCCACCGCCTGTTCAGTCACAGTCCCAGTTAGAGCCCGCCTCCCCACTTCCTGCTCCCTCTCCTTACACTGGTCCCACTGGAGGTCTTGCTGAGCGTCGTGAGCCTGCGTCTCGTCCTGCGTCGCCTGTTCGTGCTGCTCGCGCTAGTGGTCGCGGTTCGCGTCAGCGTCCTCCTCCTGTCCCTGGCACGCACCGGATGTCTTTGCGTCCGTCCACTGCTCCTCTGCGTGCCCCTTTGCCTTCTCCTCCTGAGTCCTCCCTTCCTGCACTTACCGACCCAGAGTCCGACTCTCTTCGTGCTGCTAGTCCTACTGTCACACGTCTCCTTGCTACTGTCGTCACTGACCCCTCTTTTGAGTCCACTGCTGCGTCTGCGCTTGTTGCTGAGCTCGTCGACTTTGCTGCTCGCTGTCGTCTAGACTACGCTGCCGGTCTTGTTGCTGAGTCTGCGTCTGTCTGTCCTCCGTCCGTCGGGGGTGAGTGTGCTCTTGGCACGGACGTCCTTGAGGACAGGCAGGAGGAGTTCCAGTGTCTGGCTGCTGCTTCACCTCATCTCGCGTCCGTACTACTTGCCCCTGAGGGAGACCCGGATGCACTAGACATCCCGACTCCGCGCTCTTACGCGGAGGCCGTAGAGGGTCCCTACTCCTCTCAGTGGCAGGCAGCTATGGATGCAGAGATGGCGTCCTGGAAGTCCACAGGCACCTACGTTGACGCGGTGCCCCCTCCTGGGGCGAACATCGTCAGTGGCATGTGGATCTTCAGGGTGAAGCGGCCGCCGGGCTCTCCACCTGTCTTCAAGGCGCGGTACGTGGCTCGTGGCTTCAGTCAGCGGCAGGGAGTTGACTACTTTCAGACCTTCTCTCCCACCCCGAAGATGACCACTCTTCGGGTGCTGCTGCACATAGCCGCTCAGCGCGACTACGAGCTCCACTCTCTTGACTTCAGCACTGCTTTCTTGCAGGGTAGCCTGCACGAGGAGATCTGGCTGCGCCGTCCACCTGGCTTCACTGGGACTTTCCCTCCTGGCACCCAGTGGAGCCTCCGACGGCCAGTCTACGGTCTCCGCCAGGCACCGCGTGAGTGGCACGACACACTGAGGACTACGCTTGCGGCTCTTGGGTTTGCTCCCTCTACTGCTGACCCGTCGTTGTTTCTGCGCACCGACACTTCTTTGCCGCCGTTCTACATCCTCGTGTACGTCGACGACTTGGTCTTTGCCACAGCTGACACTGCTGGACTAGCCTACGTGAAGTCCGAGCTGCAGAAGAGACACACGTGCACAGACCTGGGTGAACTGCGCAGCTACCTTGGCTTGCAGATCACTCGGGACAGAGCACGCCGCACCATTACCTTGACTCAGTCACACATGGTGCAGCAGGTCCTTCAGCGCTTCGGCTTCACGTACTCCTCGCCTCAGGCCACTCCTCTGTCTACTCGCCACTCGCTCTCAGCTCTGCCTTCGGATGAGTCCGTAGAGTCGAGTGGCCCGTACCCAGAGCTTGTTGGCTGCCTCATGTACCTGATGACCTGCACACGACCTGACCTTGCATACCCTCTTAGCATTCTTGCACGCTATGTTGCTCCTGGGAGACACCGACCTGAGCACATGGCTGCAGCGAAGAGGGTGTTGCGCTACTTGTGCAGTACGTCGGGCATGGGGCTAGTGCTTGGAGGGCGGAGTCCAGTGGTCCTCACTGGGCACGCGGACGCTTCTTGGGCTGACGACCAGGCTACGCAGCAGTCGTCGCAGGGTTACACCTTCAGTCTTGGTTCCGGCTCTGTCTCGTGGCGGGCTACTCGCTCGTCCTCTGTTCTCGGCTCCAGTTGTGAGGCTGAGATCTACGCCGGGGCCATGGCTGCACAGGAGCTTCGCTGGCTCACCTACCTGCTGACTGACCTTGGAGAGCAGCCTCGTTCTCCTCCAGTGCTGTACGCAGACAACAAGGCCATGCTGGCCTTGTGTCGAGAGCAGCGCTTGGAGCACAGAACGAAGCACATTGCTCTCCGTTACTTTCTTGCTCGTGAGCTGCAGCAGCGTGGTCAGTTGCGACTTGCGTACGTGGCCTCTGAGGCCAACACTGCTGATGTGTTCACCAAGGCACTTGCGCCTTGTGACCATCAGCGCTTCTGCACTCAGTTGGGTCTTGTACCTGTCTTGCCTCACTTGCTCTCCTCTTGACCTTGCTTGTACTGTCACATATATATACCTGCTCTTGCTTGTCTAGCTCTATATATATATGTGTCCTCCTGCATGTGAACTGGCCTTGTGGCCTTGTCGTTGTGCTCGGACTGTGTGGTGACTTTGTGATCCACCCTGAGCTTGCTGTGCTTTGCGTGACTGGTCTTGTGACCCCTTGTTCTCCCCCACTTTGCCTATGGGGGTGTGTCAGAACATTATATAGCTTATGCTGTTGTGTAGGCTATAGTGGGGTATCCCATAGGGGGTACAACCCAATTAGGGTTTCCTATATGTACTCACTTCATTCATAGTTCATCCATTCCCGTTCTCCTCTCCACACAGGGATGGTGTGACCCACTGCGCGGTCAGGCGGAAGTCCATCAGGGATAGTTTCAAACACTTCCTTAAATTCCTCTGCCAGAATTTGCATCTGAGGAGGGAAATCCTCAATTGCTGGCTCCGAGGCCTCAGCATTCTCCAGCTGTACCACGAACAGTGTATCAGCCGACTTAACAGAATGCCCGAACTGGTTGGCCAACTCACACAGCGCGCTGGGACGTTCAGGCGTCTGTGTTTCAGTGGGCAAAGTATCATTGACTTGCCACTGGATTGCCTTTCCGTTCTTGTTGAACGAGACAATGCTGTACTGGAAGTCCAGAATGACTTCGTTGGCTCGCAACCAATCCATGCCCAGGATGAGGTCGACACCTGACAAAAGTGGTAGGACATACACGCGAACTGTTTCGCTATAGTCCTGTACATTCATGTCGATATGTGTCTGTCCTTTACTTGGAATGACACGATCGTCACCCAAGCGGATGGGACATGACGGTCCTACAACGAGGACGTTGCGTGTCGTAACCCAAGTTTCGTCAACAATGGAAACCGACGCGCCTGTATCGACGAGAATCCTTGCTTCGTCCCCATTCATGCGTCCAGATAACAGTAGATTCTGTTGGAATCTTGGACGGATGGGACAAGCGACAACAAGTTTAGGAGGTCGATAATACACCATAAATTTGTTGTGAGCGCGTCCAAACCTTTGAGATGTGGTCCACCAAACATGGTGCCCTTTGTCCCATGTTGCCAGGATATGCCATTCGTGAAATCGGCGGAACAACTCTCCTTTCACGATTCGAGTCACCAATCCCACTGACGTGAGCGGGTGCTCTTGGACACAACGGTCCACCACATTCATGATTGCAGGCAACTCGTTGAACGAGCAAGAGATGATTGAAAATTTATCTCTCAATGATTCAATTGAGATGTTTTCAAGTGGGTACGATCGAGTTTTAAAAACAGATTTTTCATTAATAGAAGAGGCATACAAACAAGCGATTTTGCATGATGCAAGCTTCTCTAGCTTTAGCAAATACTCCTCACGAAGGACATAAGCCTCGTCTACTCGATCTCGCTCACCAACTAGGTACCCACCCCCTAGTTGGACTTCGGAAAATCCTTCGGGCCTGAAGGGCCAGAACCATCCGGCTTCTTGCCCTGGTTGGGCTTGCCGGAGTTCTTGACGGACTTCCTCCAACGGCAGTGGTAGGACTTGTGGCCGAGCTTGCCACAGATGCGGCAGCCCGCCGGGGGCTTATCCTCATCCTGAGGGCCCTTGGCAGGCCCAGCATGGGCCCTCTTGGACTGAGTCCCAGAGGATTCCCCCTTCTGCTGATAGGGCCTCTTCCAAGAGCCACCGCCCATGTGTGCCTGAGTCCTGCTACCACCCCCCCTAGGGCCTTCGGCACTAGGCTACTGCTGAGCACGAGCGTGAGTCATGTACGCACGGAAATTCACATCTGTGTCAATGACCTGCTCCTTGCACTCCTTGTAGGTCCTCCACTGGTGCTCCCCGCGCACAACATGCACACGCTTGATGTGCTCAGTGAGTCCCTTGAAGAACTGGTGGATGACCTCGCTCTCAGGAAGAGCAGTCTTCAGCAGCGACAGAGTTTTCTCAAACTCCTTGGCATACTCGCGTACAGGCTGGTCACCGCACTGGATGTTCTCCAGGCGGCTACGCACCTCGAGCGCCGGGGGCTGACTCAGGAATGTCGCCAGCATGGCAGCTTTGAACTCCTCCCAGCCAAAAGGATGGCCATTAGCCTCTGCGTGGCGCTTGTTGGCATACACCAACTTGCTCGCAGTGTCGTCCAGGGCAAGGGTTGCAGCGACCACGCGAGCCTCGCTACGCACATTGTGGATGGACATAAAGTCCTCCGCAATGGAGAGCCAAGTCTCGACGTCGGTCTTGCCATGGACAAAACGAGGCAGGGCCGAAGGGCAGGAGCCAAAGGCAGTTGCTGCTGCAGTAGGAGGCTCAGCACGTGCTCCAGTAGGAGGAGGAACAGCAGGAGGTGCATCAGCAGGTGCAGCACGGCTGTTAGCGGCGTTGGCGACTCGCTCTGCTGCAGGAGCAGGCTGGTAGAGGTTTCCACGCCGGATCTCCCTGTACTGGGTCTGAAGCACAGAGATGCTTTTCTCCTGCTTCTTGAGCTGATCCTGCACGAACTGAAGAGTGTTGTGCAGGTCCTGGATGAGGCTGGAGGTGTCGTTCTCCTTAGGGATCGACTGCACCTCCTTGGTCAGCTTCTCAATCAAGGCCTGAAGCTTAACAGAATCAGCCTCTAAGTTCTGGATACGACACTGTTGCACTCCAATGAGAATATTCTGCTCCGTGAGTTGAGTCTGGAGCTTGACAGCAATGTTCTCAGTCTCATTGGAAACACCCTCATCAAAACCAACCTCATCCTCATTTTCAGCATCAGCCTCAAGGTCAGCTTCACTTCCATTGATCTCCATGTCAACCACGAAGTCCTCAAGGTTGAGATCAATGTCAGCAGCAGTAGCAGCATTATCTCCCTCATTGCCAGCAACGGGCACCTCCTTAGTAGCATCCATCTCTTGACCAGAAGCCATGAAACAGGTTAAGGAGAGGAGATCTCAACAGATCTTATAATAATCTTTAAGAAATCTGATTACTCTTATAGAATAATCCAATACAGAATCTCTTAAGATTGACTTGTTTGCTAAATCTCTCTATCATTTCAATGATAGAGCAAGATATACTCCAAAAGAGTAATCTTCAACAAGTCCTTGTAGATCTGGAGATACACTCTTCTACACAAGGTAGATCAAGAGTCTTCCACCAAAGGTGGGTAAGAGAAATTAATCTCTTCAAATTTCTTCTCAATGTTGATGAAGAAATATGAGCTCCTTGTAGATCTTGTAGCTCCAATGGTGTGTTGAAGAAATTGAAGCTTGGAGATCTTGTAGAAGCTTTTGTAGATCTTGAAGGAACACTTGTAGATCTTGAAATTTCTTCAATGCTCCTTGGATAAAACCCTAGATCCACAAGCTAGGATCCTCTAAAAAAAATATCCAAGTAGCAAATGGCCACACAAGGCCAAGGAAGAACCTTGCTCTAGATACCAATGTAATGCCCAAGTCTCAAAGTTAAGGAGGTACTTAGGTTTAGGATGCCTAGGCTTAGGAGCCTAGGCAAGGAGGGTATCGAGTGGGTTGTGCCAAAGGATAGCGAGAATGGAGGGGTTTCACTATAGAATGTTGTGAACATATAGGTGAGAGAGAGGGTGCACCACCAACTGATACAAATGCTATCTACACTACACTACTGTAGGCAGTTATACAAAATGTATACAAACATATTTGACACACCCCCTAACTGCCCACAGTAGAAACCACGTGCAGACAACACTCCCTGCAGGGGTGCACCAAGGTAGAGAGCAGCAGAAGGAGGAGAGGACAAGTGAGGAGGAGGAGAGAGAGAGAGAGGAGGTGGGCAGCGGCTGAAGTTGTTAGCACACTGGCAACTGGAGCTACTGGCTCACGGGCAACTGGGGTAACGGGCTCGTACGCCTGGAGCATTCCGCTCGTACGGCTAGAGCAACTGACCCACGGGCGACTGGAGCAACGGGCTCACTGGCGACTGGCGCTACTGGCTTCACGGCACCCCCCACCCCCCCCAAACCTCTCCCCCACAAGGCAGTACGGCTGGAGCTGACGCAAGCAAGGAGGAGGAGTGGAGAGGCGGCTGCTGGAGTGAGGAGAGGAGGAGTGGAGAGGCAGCTGCTGGAGTGAGGAGAGGAGGAGGAGTGGAGAGGCGGCTGCCGGAGTGAGGAGAGGGTGCAGCGGAAGGAGGATGAGAGGAAGTGCAGCGGAAGGAGGAGGAGAAGGGGGGGCGGCTACCGTCACATACCCGCCACCCCCATACCCTCTTCCCCCCCCCCACAACGCGGCACGCACCGCACATGCACGGGCAGCGATGAGGAGGAGGATTAGGGAGGGGCGGGAGGGCTCAAGGGGGCTTAAGTACCCCCGTAGCCGCGGGCGCGAGCCCTGCCACCTCCCCCCCGCAATGTCCCCCGTAGAAGAGGGCGGCAGCATGCGCGGAGGCGGGGAGCGGGGTGGCGATGGCGGGGTCGCAGGCGGCTGCTGCTGGTGCTGGCGCTCGCGACCGGTGCTCGCGCATGTCGCTGGCGCTGACGCTGGCGGTGGCGCTGGTGACCGGCGCTGGCGCTGGCGCTGGTGCTGGCGCTCGCGACAGTCGCTGGCGCTGGCGCACGTCGCTGGCGCTGGCGCTGGCGTTCGCGACGGTCGGAGGCGCTGGCGCTGGCGTCCGCGACCAGCGGCGGGGCGACGCGACAGTGCGCGGGACGGGGCGACCAGCGCGTGGGGCGGGTAGCACGGGGCGAGCAGTGCGGGGCAGGCACCGGGCGAGCACCTCGAAGGGCGCTGCAACGATCGCCATGGCAACGAGGGCAGCCATTGCGAAATAAAATTAACGAGGTCCTTAAGAACGGACCTGCTCTGATATCATCTCAAAGTTAAGGAGGTACTTAGGTTTAGGATGCCTAGGCTTAGGAGCCTAGGCAAGGAGGGTATCGAGTGGGTTGTGCCAAAGGATAGCGAGAATGGAGGGGTTTCACTATAGAATGTTGTGAACATATAGGTGAGAGAGAGGGTGCACCACCAACTGATACAAATGTTATCTACACTACACTACTGTAGGCAGTTATACAAAATGTATACAAACATATTTGACACCAATGCTATTATAATGGTGGTTACAATGCTTTTATAATATTCCAATACAAAATAGTAGCCTTAACTAGCCTCAACAGCCTTGGAGATGAAGATCTTCTTGATGCCTTTGATGAAAAACACTTGGAGTAGTAGTGTAGGGAAGTTTGTGAGAGAGTCTAAAGGACTTAGCCAAATAATCCCATTTCCAATTGTTTAGTTGGAGTGGGAGGTTGAGAATCAGCTTGCTTAGCTCAGACCCCCTCAATACACCCCTTGGGGAACTATCCCAACCATGGTTTCCATGGTGGGATGGTTCCTAGGCTTGGAGCCTATGTGGCAATTGTGTTGGGTTGGAAAACCCAACTTAGAACCATTCAATGGTTGTGTTTAGGATAGAGTAGATTGTTACAATTGTTTGGCAGTTTCTGATTGGTTGGAATTCCAACCTTTCTGATTTCACTTTGATGGCTTGGAGTTTCCCAAACCTCTTGGTTGAGGTTTGGAAAACCAATCCAACCCTAACATCCCAACCAAACCCAACCTTCTCCAAGTCCCTCTTTGTCGAGAAAACTCTCGACATTTGGCTAGAGGGAAGTTGGTTGGTAGGCTTAGCTAGGCAATGCGTTACACATTTCTTCCGTATTCTGAACATTCAACTCGTTCTGATTGGACCTGCTTCTGGAGGGCAAAGCAAGCGACAGACTGAGTGAGCGAGCGATCGGGCGACAACCAAACCACCAACCAAGCGACGCCTCCAAGGGTTGTGCGAAAGAGCGACGTTGCTGAATCTTCGCTTCCGTCTGCTGCTGAGTTGTCGGGGGGGTGGTCTTTTCGCTTGCGACTGTTGGCACCTTCGTTCGGCAAGCCCAAGGAGGAATTCAAAAGTGGACTGTGAGGAATTCAAAAGTCGTACCTCCTCCAACAAACGCGGTCGCTTAGAATGGCGGCAGGATCTAGCGACAGCAAAGGCGCGGTGTTCTTAGAATCAGAGGCAAGACGATGGTGGTGAGGAAAGCGTGAGGGGAGAGGAGGGAAGGCAAACGGAAGAGAATCTTGGGTTGGGGGAACGGGGGAGTGAGCCAAGGCGGAGCTGATGTTTCAGAAGCCCACTTATTTCCAATAGATCGCCTTAAGTTGCTCCCTGCGTCCTCCATCCGTCCCCCTCTCACTGCATCGTCCCGTCTGCGTGTGCGTTTGCGTGTGTTATTGTGCATGCGTGCGTGTGCGTGTGCGTGTGTGCGTGTGCGTTTGTGCGTGTGTACGTGTGTGCGTGTGCGCGTGCGTGTTCGAGTGTGTGCATGCACGCAGATCGAGTTCATAGCGGAGAACGAGCTCGTGTCCATCGTGCCCAACTTCCGAGCCGACGCGCTGCACCTCCACGCCGTGAGACGCGCTACCACCCACACCGCGCACGCACACTCACATCTAACCTCTTCCTCGCCTTCACTGACACACACGCAGACACACCTTTGCCTGTTACGCTGCACATTCTCCTTTCTTATGCCAGCCTTCTCAACCATCATTCCATGTCAACTGTCCATCCACCCCGTCGTTCTGTTTGGTTCTGTTCTCTTCCTCCTGTTTTCAGGGCGACATTGGGCCGTTCAGGCCTCAGAGATTGCCCTGCAGGTGCCCCTATGGCTGGCCATTGCGCTCAAGAGGCGCGCCAAGTGCTCCATCCAGCCGCCCCCCTGGCTTGCTGCAGGTGACCCGCATCCTCATCCCCACTTGCAAACCTCCATGTCTGCGCAGCCCCCTTGTCCTCTGCCTCTTCCGCCCCTCATCTGCTTCACCGCGAGCCTTTCAAGCTTGACCCTCTCTCGTCTCCAGCAACCTCTCATCCCACCCCGTCCTCCAACCCAAGCATCTGCACCGTCACTGCCATCACCGCACCCCTCCTCCACCACTCTTTCCTCCACATCCCTGCCTGCGGCCCAACACACGTTCCCTCACGTTGCCGTGTTTCTGTTCTTGCTGCGCGCAGGCATCGCTTGCTCCCCAGCGCGCGCGCTCGCTGCCAGCCGCTCGGGGCCGACGAAGAGTGGCGGCGAGCGCGAGCGGGTAAGCGCACGGAGAGGAGCGGTGGCGCGGGGAGGGACGACAGGCGGGCGTGGCGCTGCTGGTGGACGTAAAAGGGTGAGGGGGAGGGGGGAGGCGCATGGGCGGGTGGCTGATTGGGGCGCATGGGTGCATGCGGCTGGATGCGCGGGTGCGCGGGTGCGTGCGTGCTGTGCGGCTTGGGGGAGTACTGGCGGAGGAACATACCCCGATGGTTGCTGTCCTTGCGCTGGTCCTCTCATGTGCTCGTGGTGAGGCTTTCATTTCATGGATACCTGGTGCGCATGCCATGCATATGATGTGCGTTGATGAGTGAGTGAGTGTGTGTGCGTGTGTGTGTGCATGTGTGTGTGTACATGGCTCTGCAGCTGCACGTTTTCGCTTGGTGCATGTGGTGTCCAATCTCCTTGGCATACCGGTATGTTTCACTGGCCATGATGTAAGCAGGCTGGGCAAGGCTATCTGGTCAAAAAATATGAATACCGAAGTTTTGGTGGTCGTACTTTCCTGTCTGATATGCTGCAATGACTGACTGCGTTGATTCTATTCTAGGTATACTTTTTTATTCTGCATAAATTACCAATGGCTAATTTGTGTATAGGAACAAGATTGCAGGTTTTTGTCTCCTGTGACTAAAAAAAAAATGTATTTCTTTCTTTTAATCCACTGTACAGCCACTGTACACGCATTCTGACAATGTGTCTTTGCTGTATCTGGTCCTTCCGCTCTTGTGTGCTTCTGCTCGCCTCGCCCTCCCTGCTCATTTCGGCTGCCAATTCCCAACGGAGCTACGACAGTGACGCGAAGCTGACGGATGACACGCATCGGATACATGCGATTGCCGGATAGATCTGCGCGAGGGTGGATGGCTGAGGGGACGTGCGCCCGAGGCGTGGTGTGGCGCCACAACGCGAATTGCACGGACTAGCAGAGTTGGGCGACTTAAGATTGTGAGCGCCAAGGCTCTCGCGCGTGCGCCAAGGCTAATGAACTTAGCAGAAGATGTAGTGTGTACCGACAGCAGCATGCTGATTAGCAAATTACTTCACTTGTGAAGTAGTTGTTCTTCACTGATTTATGGTTCATATTGCTTAGAGACATAGTCGAGCATTTGTGGTAACATGTCGAGTTGGCGAAATGTGCATCAACCAGTCGGTGGTGTGTGCCATGGGAGCGGGAACAGCGACGCGCATGTGCTCCACATGTGGGAAATGCTGTCACTCTCACTGATGGACCGTTTGTCGTGTTTTTTTTAGGCGATGTACAGCTGGCTTCCAGCAACGAAGAGTTTGGTTGGAACTGTATCAGCACGCGTGACGCTTCCCAAATTTTGTTTTCAACCGGAAAACTGCAACTGTGCATGTTGTCTTCGCATGAGCAAAATGTTCGAAACAAAAAACTGTCTATTGTTTGCGAATGACAATACTACAGGCATATTTTCACATTGAGATTGATGACTTCAGCATGCGACAGGTGTATCGCCTGGTACTCAAAAGCCGCAACATGAATGGCCGGGCTGCTGTGTTACCGTCATCGCCCGGATATAAGACATATATGTCTTATCTCGTACACGGGCAAAAATGCTTGAGTTATCTTGTAAACGGGATGGTTTAGGGTGTCTTACAAGTCTTATAAATGGAAACTTTTTAAACTACTTAGAAATATTTTCCGTACTTCTTGAAAAAGAGTTTCTCATAATGAGTGTGGATGTTGCGAAGGTGCCACTTCGACAACCTCTGCCCGGGACGCCACGTTATGGAGAACACCTGCAGGGGCAAATTTGGTAGGTCCTGGGTCAGCGCGTGGAAGAATTCGCGCTTCGCAAGGGTAAAAATGTACGCGGTATTTCAACTTTCGCTATAATTTATTGAAGTTTCGATTATAAGACATATATGTCTTATCTCGTACACACAAATAGGTGTTTTATAATGAGGCTAGCCTGTTTATAAGAGACACCCGTATAGTAGACAACCCCTGTCTACTATTCAACACTGTCTTATATCCGGGTGATGACGGTAAAGTTAAGGTTATATATTGATCGTAATCAATGTACACAATGCAGAAGCATAGAGCAATCTAGAAACATGGCCGAGATGGCCAGCATCCTATAAGGAGCACGTGGAACACACGTTATTTCCTTGTCTTGGAAGGACAACCACCAGCAGACTGGGGAGACGCTCTATGCAGGAGTTGCCTACGGGGGTCGGAAAGGGTTCCCTAGGAGCCATGAGAATCTGAGGTCAGGGTGGATGGATGGTGTGCCGCTTCTGTCAAATAGGAGGAACCGGAGCTTTTGTGCTCGTTTGATACTTGAGGATGTGCGTTGGTGCTTCTTGGTAGATTGGCGGCGGCTTCTCCACATAAAAATCTTGAAGGCGATGAGGAATTGGGCTAATATCAGTTGCATGATCTCGAAGCCCGATGAAGAGGAGTTGCGGTATCTGTGGTCACAGCGTGCCTTCCACAGCGTCTTAACTGCTGCTCCCACCAGAAGGCTCCATGGGGGGGACTGTCCCACACGTGACTGTATCGGGAAGAAGATGTGCTCGGCGGTGGTGGTTTGTCTGAGGTGGCGGTCAGCAACTGTGCGTAGGGCCGAGATGACGTTGCTAGCGAAGGAGCATTCGAAGAAGATATGCGGCAACGTCTCGACAACGGCGGCAGGGCACCTGTGGCAAATCCCCCTGTCATCGAAGTATTGGAAGCGTGATCCTGAAGAAAGGGTGAACGTGTAGAGTCTGAACAGGATGTCCCGCTGGCGGCTCGGCTGGTCTTTGAGGAACGCGCTCTTAAGATCAGGAAGAGGAGGAGGAGGAGAGGTGAGGTCGCGAGTCCATCGGAGGTGATGGTTAAGTGGTTGTGCCGAGCAGAGGAGGCGGCGGATGTCGGCGATGCTGGGGAAACCGTCCTGCAGAAGACTAACCCTAGCCCCTAGCCCAGCCCCGACGTGAAGTGGCCCGGCGAGCCACCAACCCCAGACGTGTACCTCCACGAGGTCTTTGAGGCGGAAGAGTCCGGTGGAAACAGGGGTGCGGGCGATGCGCTTGTTTGTCGAGACATGGTGGACAGTGGCCGAGACGGAGGAGGGAGGCACGAAGGAGACGACTTGGAGGGCAAGATGGGCGGCGGGGTGGGGGTCTTCTGACAGCATGAACCAGTCTCCGGGGGAGGCAGTAGAGGAGTATGGGGTTCGGAGGGCATCCCACCAAGGTGGTTTAATGGCCACAATAAGCTCTGGAAGGATGCGTGTTGCGTCTGCGTGGAATTCTTCCGGGAGTTGGGCGCAGAATTCTGCCGCGGATATAGGGCTGACATCATAGTTGGTAGTTCGGACAATGTGTCCGATGCGAAATTGCCCAGTAAGGAGGAAACGCTCATGTTGGCGGGTGCCAAACGGCCGGTTGTCTGGTTTGAGAATCGACCGGTTGAAGGCGATTGGTTCGGTGAGGATACATTGCATGCGTAAGGGAGGGCCATGAATTACCAGGGGAAGGGAGAGAAGAGCTTTTAGTTCGTCTAGCGCCCAAGGGGGAATGAATGTGGGGAGGTAGTCTCGTTCAAGGATATTTTGTGGGCGAGCAAGCCGTGAAGCCCGAAGGGGAAAGGGGTCAAGGTACGTGTCACTTCCTCGGAGGGGGTAGGTCCGAATCTGCGCAGGGCACGCTGGATAGCGAGAGCTTTGACTTGTGTGGAGGGGGCGATCGCCCCAACCCCGCCGTCTTGTGGGGAGTTGTATAAGAGGCCTTTGGAGATGAATCGTTGTGCGAGGCCGTCTTGTTTGTGTTTTGAGGACGAAATGAAGTTCCCGACTGACACGTCTAGGCGTTTGATGGTGTCCGGTGGTGCGGGTTGGAAGCGTCTGGGATAGGAGATGACAGAGTTCAGAAAGATCGAGGACAGGGATTTGCGGCATGTGACGGTGGCATGTAAGGCTGCCAGGAATTTGGCGGTGCTTTGTATGCGGGCAAGAGCCTTATTCCAGGTGGTGGAGCCGGGGTGTATACGCTCGACATATATTCCAAGGATGCGTTCTGCTTCATTGGGGGCTCGGACGGGTATAGGCCCGGCGTGCACGAGGTCAGCAGGGGGGATGTTGAAGGGGATAATGGAGCATTTGTTCCAGTTGGGGACCTCCCCAGAAACAGATCCAAAAACGCCTAGGAGCACCACTACCATTCCGAGCCCTGTATCTGAGGTGAGGAAGAGAGTGACGTCGTCCGCGTAGCATGCCATGAGGCGGCGCTGAGCAGGGGAGAGAGCGAAACCGGGGAGAAAGAGGGCCATATAGCGGTGGAAGATCTCGATGACGCAGACGAAGAGCAGAGGCGCCAGAGGACAGCCCTGTCGGACGCCCGTACGGACGGGGAAGGTGGGGCCGAGCATGTTGTTGACCGAGATTCGTGTGGACGTGTCGGAGTGCATTAGTCGGACCCAGTGGATGAAGGGTGCGGGGAGTCCAAGGACCGCTAAGGCTTGGAGGAGGAATGGTCGATCGACAAGGTCGTAGGCCTTTCGAAAGTCCACCGTAAGAGCGAGAAGGGGGGACGAGGAGAAGGCCGCCCAATCCATGATGTCAAGGGTATCGTTGATCGTGTCTCCAATTTTCCTGTGTTTAATGAAGGCGGTTTGGGATGGGTGGATGAGCTGGGGGAGAACGAGCTGAAGGCGGTTGGCAAGGCACAGAGCGAGGACATTGTAATCAGCGTTCATGAGGGTGATGGGGCGGAGATTCTCCACTAGCTAGGAGTCCCCCCTTTTGGGGATAAGGACAGTGCGTCCGGACAACATGGACGGAGGTAGGCGAGAAAGTGGCTGAGGTGGAGAGAGCAAGGAATGGAAGACCGGTGCAAAACGCGGGGAGAATTGTCGGAAGAGCTCCCCGGGGAGACCGTCTGGGCCGGGGGTTTTTCCTCGAGACAGAGACAGAAGTGCTTTTCCGATTTCGGCTAGGGAGAGCGGGGCACTGAGACGGAGGAGTAGGGGGTTCGGGATGGATGAGGGGGGGATATGTTGCCAGAAGGAAATGTTAGGGGTGACAGGGTTGCTCCCGCTATAGAGGGTCTGGAAAAAACTAGGGCACATGTTGGTCATGGTGGAGAGGTCCGACGTCGTCTGTCCGTTAGGTAGGGTCAGAGAGCTGATGATTGAGCCCTTGATTCGCGAGTTGAGTCCAGAGAGAAGGGAGGAGACTCCCAATTCTCTGTGCCCTTCCACTTTGAGCTTGGCCTTGAGCGCAATCTCGGAGGCTTTCGAGGCTTCATATCTGGCCAGGTGGAGTCTTGCTTGGTCAAGGCGGTTAGATTCGGCCTGGTTCAGGGGCGTATACGCTGCGTGTCGCTGTAGTGAGCCGATGGTGTGTTCCAGATGCGCAATCGTGTTGTCGACACGGCGTCTCTCCTGGTTGGAAAAGCACTTGAG